CAGAAGTCTGGGTCCGGGTGGTTGGGTGCGTAGATGTTAATCAGATGGTATGTGGTGGTGTATACCGTCCCGGTGAGGATGATGTACCGACCCATCGTGTCAACTTGTGTCGTTTGAGTGACAAAGGGGCATTTTTTGTGCAGGAGTATTTCTACTCCGTTTTTCTTCACCAATGCTCTGGAGGAGTATGCCCTGGTGTAGAGGTGGTCAGTTAGCTGAATCCGGGCTTAGCGCAGTATATGCGATTCTTGTATGAAGGCTATGTCTGTTTTTTGCCGTTTTAGTTTTCTCATTAATAGACGCCGTTTGGTCGGAGTGTTAAGGCCGTTAACGTTTAGGGAGGTTAGTTTAAGCGTAGCCATAGTCTGCCCAGGTCTCGCCCGATGTGCGGTTATTGGGGTCAGGTTTATCCGCCGCACGCCCCCGCGAGGAGCGATGCGTGAGAGTCAGCAAGCGAGGGAGAGTTATCACTCCAAGTCTCGCTAGGCTAAAAGGATGGGGGAGGGTAGGGGAGGGGATCCTCCTCGGGGAGGATTTGAGGGTTAAGGAAGAAGGGGAGGGGGTTGTGGCTATCCCCGGGGGAACGCGAGCACTCGGTTCCCTCAAGGGTCCGTGGGTTCTGGAAGGCCCGTGTAGTGGGGATGCAGGGTGTGGTGGGGGTTCTCCCCGGTCTTAGTCGCGCCGGGTGTATCGGGGGGTGGCTATCCGCCCCGCGGGTACTTTGTGTAACGCGGAGGGGACAATCAGCCGCCGAGCACCCTGTCGCCGATCCAAGTGAAAGTTTCCATGTACATATTCGTCAGTTCCCTATGAGGTTGTGGGGTCTGTGTGTCCTCTCATGTCAAGTCACGTGTGTACAGAGATAACAGCATTATATTATACGTACAATCATTACATTACTTTGAACAATCGTCCATTATCATTTTCTAGATATGTTGGTGATTAGCACAGAGGCAAGAGAGAAGAGCAGGGGAGAAGCATAATACCAAAGAGAGAGAGAGAGAGAAAGAGAAAAGGGGGGGAGGGAGGGAGGGAAAGGGATGTACACTTGCGTGGCAGGTAGTGTCAGCGATGTTCCCAATCATCCGGTTCGTTGCCTAGTGGCTTGGGGTTACACTGTGGTTCCAAGTCCCTTTCCCTGGTAGTCACCGGTACTGTCCTGGTTATAGACATGCCGATCGAGGTGTGCGTGTTAAGGTATTTATTTATTTTTTTTTTTATGTTTTCCCATTTTCCCCCCTCCATCCCTCTCACCCTCATAATTTTAGGTGTGTTTTTTTGGGTCTTTTACTGATTTTTTTTGGGGGGATTTTATGTTTTCTCCTCTGTTTTGTCCAGTGTATGCGGTAGGTAACGTTTTTTTTTTTTTTCCTCTTACTTCTTCTCACCCCCCCATCCCCTTCACGCCTCCACAGCTCCTCTCAATCCAGGGCTTTATGATTATTCAAGTTCCCAGTTGGCATCTGTGTTATTTCTTTTCCTTCTTTCATTCTTTTTTGTTGATTGTCGTTTTCCAATTGAGGTGTATTCTCTGTATCAGCGTTTTTCTACGTCGTTGTGTTTTTTCGTATTGTCGTCCGTGACTTGGGTTTGTGTCTTAGTTTTAGGGGCTGTTTGGGGGAAGGATTAGGGCGGTCTAGGTCTGTCTAGGTCTGTGTTTAGGAATGCCTTTTGGAGGGGAGGCCTCTGAGGGCCCCTCAATGTACACCGCCGTCCTGCGCTGCTTCTTCTCTGGGTAGTTGGCCCAATGCTTGTGTACCTCTGTGGGGGGAGTCTGAAATCCTCTGGGATTTCTATACCCAAATTGCGGAGGAAGGTTTTAGGGTCCGCTGAGGGAAGAAGTACGTCCGGTCTCGGTCCGTTAAATGCTAGCATTTTGAAGGGGTGGCCCCATGCGAAGTTGAGGCCTTTGGCCCTGACTAGGTCGGCTATGGGTTTCCATTCCCTTCTCCTGGCTAGTATGGCGGGTGCTATATCCTGGTATAGGTGTATTGTGGAGCCATCCAGCGAGTAAGTGTGGTGGCAGGCACTTTTTATGATGGCTTCCTTGGTAGAGAAGAAATGCCACCACATTATTACATCTCTGGGGGGGCTGTCAGGAGGGCCTCTTGCTCTTAGTGCCCTGTGTGCCCTGTCTATGGTCCACAGGTGTTCCGGTATGTCTGGTAGTTGCTCTTTAAATAGCCCCAGGAG